AGCAGGACTACTCAGGCATAGCTGATGCACAGGGTGCCCTGGGTCAAATCTGGATGCTTAGGAGGCTCACTGCCATGACCAAGGGTAGGGTGACTAGGGTGTCACAATATAACAGTCTCAGCCAAGTACCTCAATTTCATTCAATCCTATTTATTATTTCGTTTGGAAAATGTTTCTGTGGAAGAGGCTGCAACTGAGAAGGAAGTTATTTAGCCCTTGCAGAGTTTCGTACTGTTGAATCAAGGCTGGTGCAGCACTGAAGCTTTCCATACCAACCTGCAGTGCAGGCACATGTGAGCAACACTAGTGTCCCGTAAATTAAAAGAGGATTTGAAACTGCACAACCTATAACTTTCTAGCACCAATACGGGTGGGAAACTGCACTGGAGACACTCTGGTGCCTTGTGTCTTCCTTCTTCTTCTTTTCCTTTATTTATTTATTTAATTAATACATCCAGGACCCTGCTTCTTTCAAAGAGAAGAGCAGGCAAATTTTCATTTCTTAAAGGGTTGCTTAATGAAGCTGCTTTTGTGCTCTGCAGAACTGGGATAGATAAGAAGATAAGCCCATTTCTCCTCAAGCAGCAGTGACCTTAACTCCAGGAGCAGTTCAAGCTGGCCTTGCTTTTGCACACATCTTTGTTGGGGTGACTTGAAATGATGTGTTAATCCACTCAGTGACTAACCCCCTTCTCCCCTAGGCATACTTTCAAAGTCAACTAGATGAACTGCTTTGTTCTGTCATCACAGAAAGAGGCTGTTTTCTCTGTCTCTTTTGCTGTAACAAGGCAAATAAGCCTACCCTTTCCAAGGACTAAAACAAGCAGTCATCTTTCACAGCCTTATCCTCTATTCAAGAACTCATTTTTTGGCACATCATACCATCATTTCACTGCAAAAGCTTCTGCCCTTCACACCATATTGCATGTTGTTTTGTCTGCCGCTACTCTTTTAGCATTTGGAGCTGTGGAAACCTGAATGAGTTGGCTTATCTTGCCAATGGGATAAGCAATAATGAAGCTGAAATGTCATCCCAATAACAAGTCATGAGACAGCCTGCCACAGACTAAAACCTCACCTTGGGAACAGGCCGTTAAAGACAAAACAAAAGAGACATGGACACAGTTGGAAGCATCTGTTTGCTATCTGGGAGTCAAGCCAAAAAAAAAACGGCATTCAAACAGCTGGCAAAGTAGAAACGTTTGGCAAACCAGAGCCAAAACTGGTGATAATAGCAACTGCTGTAAGTCTTCTTTGGGGTAAGCAAGCTGCCCATGAGACACCAGATCTGCAGGATGATCCTCTTGCTGCAGCAGAGGACCAGAGCTGGGTGCTCCACAGGTCCCTCAGTTCCACCATATGGAAATGATAACATGGGGGGCAAAGGCAATGAGCTGGGAGGACTGCCACAGGCTAGATGAATGTAAACCAAAAAAGATTTGTTCTTTTATGGAAACCTTTTTTTTTTTTCTTTGTGTAATGCTTTCATGAAGAAGAAATCCCTTTTAGGGCAATCTGGGGACTGCATGGACAGTTAAGTGGGAACAATATATAGCAGAGATTCAAATTAGCTGCTAAGGTGGCTATTGGCTGTAAATGCCAGGTAAAGCTGGTCAGTAAGAGCAGGGGCACAAGGAAAACACACATATGCTTTTTAACCAGCATAATGCTATCAGTTAAACCTTCCACCACTTCCAGGTAAGTGGGATGGGAGGCAGGGCTTGCTCCCACTGCTTTGCCTTAATTTTTTTAAATTGCTTTGCTTTCATTTCACACACGGATAGGTATTTTGGACCCTGCTGTTGAGCCTGTCAGTGAAGGGCAGCTATGACAGCGTTTCCTTTGTGAAGGAGATGATTGTGGACTGTGAAAAACAGATGTGTTTCACACCAGGTTTTTGAACAACTTTCAAAATGTCTCTTAGGAGAGGAGATGGTACGGGAGGAACTCCATTTGCACTGGTCTAGTCTGTGCTTGGGCTGCCAGTGACAGACCTCGGCTTCGCTCACCACTTGTTTGATGTGAGCGACCTATTTCATGGGCAGCCCTGGGGCAGCTGGTCAGGGCCAAAGCTTGGAGACCTCCAGCACCAAGTCAACATCTTCAAGCTCCTGGCTGTTGCTTGTAGTGCCCATGGCCCTTAGCTGCTCCAGTGGAAGGCTTGAGGGATCAGTAACTGTGGCCTGCCTGCAGGCAGGAGTGTTTATTTTCCTGCCTTGTTGCGTTGCATGGGTAGGGTCCACTCTGCTGGAGACTGCCAACACTCATGTTTCCTTCTTCTTCCTTGACAGTGCCCTCAGCATCTGAAACCGTTGTTACAGGAGTAATAGGGCAAACTGTCCGCTTGCCTTGCTTCTACCAGGTGGCACAACAGTCGGACATCTCTGATATGTGCTGGGGCAGAGGCCCGTGCCCGAATTCAAAGTGCAATAATAAAATTTTGCACACCACTAGGAATAGAGTGACGTTCAGAAAATCCCAGAGATACAATCTCCAGGGCTATATTTCCAATGGAGATGTGTCTCTCACCATTGGGAGAGTGAAGGCAGAAGATGCAGGGACATACTGCTGCCGCATAGAGATCCCAGGCTGGTTCAACGACATCAAACTGAACATACGCCTGGAGGTGGTCAGAGGTGAGTCTGGGGACCTTTGTTACACAAAGATTTTGCTGGATTGGAGTTCAAAATTGGAGCTTGCGTGCCTTTTTTGTTTGCTTTTCCTAAAAAAAAAAAAAAAAAAGAGTTTTTCCTAAATTATATAGTTTTCAAGGAAGGTCTGCAACCAGCTGCCAGTTTGAATCCCACTCACTGAGCAATTTTGATGACAAAATAGCAATTTTTAATTTATTTTTTACCTTTCCAATTAATTATTTAATTTCTTGTTGTGTAGCTATATTTGCAGTTTTAAAAGATGATGGAATTAAAAAAGGGATTTATCATTTGAAAAGCCCTTGGAATGAAAAACAGGTTTTCACTTGGGATTCACCTCAATACCAAAACCACTTTCATTTCGTTCATGTCATAAGGAGACCCACATGCTTAGAAATTTTGTCTCAGTCTTGAAGGACTTTTTTCCCTTCCTATTATTTTGATGAGCTGCAGGTTAAAGTAAGGGTCATACAAAGTTGAGAAGAGGCTAAAAAATATTGCAAAGCACAGAAAAAGATGGTACCCACCCTCCACACTGCAGAAGGACAATTGTTTTTTTTCCTGTCTTTTACAAGATGTTCAGGAGTGCAATAGGTGCTGATTTACACATCACTCTTCTATGCCTGTGTGATATAACAGGAGAGTGGGGGGGGGAAATGCTGCAACCTCACACCTCTCTGAGTTTGAAGGCAACAGAGTCCACAACAAAAGGACCAGTTGAAAAGATTAGCAAGAAGCTTGTAGCTGAAAATTGAGCTATTTAATTCATTTTTATGAGGACATTGGAAAGCAAAATCACAAATTTTGCAAGTTATTGGGGATTTTTTTTGTCACTTGCAAGGTTCTGGCTCTTCCATTCCTGCAAGAGAGTTAAGGAGGAGGTGCAGGCAAATCTGTGAGAATTGCTCTGACTGGGACAAATTTTCTGCTAATTCACCTTCTAAATAGTGACTCTGCCACCTTCATTCTCAGTATTTTAGCAGCTAAATAATTTTCATACATTTCTGGGTTGCCTTTCATCAGGGTCAGATGTGAATACTCTGATCTAGCTTTTCTCTTGGCTGTGTTTCTTCCATGCAGCTCCTCCAGTGATGACAACCACCACGAGAAAGGCACCTGTTTCCCCCAAACGTTTTAGAAAAACAACTTTTGCTCCTCAGGCAACCTCAGCTCATCAAACTACAACAGAGACTGATGTCCATCTGACAACCACCATCCCTGAATCAACAACTGCAACCCCTGATCATCAAACAACAGCAGAGACTGCTGTCCTGACAACCACTGTCCCACCAGCAACAACTGCAACCACCAAGTCTCCAGCAGTAATTACACTACAGACTGTTGCTCCCCCAGCATTTGTTGTGACAGAAAATGACGCTTTTCCAGAAGCTATGGTGACAATCAGTGCTCTCCCAGACTTTTCAACAGGTTTCCAAGCAGCTGACCTGGGGACTGAAGATGACATCGTGCTCTGCCCAGAAGAGTCTATCCCTCTTCCTGAAGGTACAAAGGCCATCCAGCACCAATCCTTTCTTTTTGTGTAAGAGAAATGGTCTGTGTAAGTCTGACTCTGGCATCATAGAGACTCTCCAGATACTTGTATTTGTATCTGGAAAGCTTTCTCCAAGTTGCCTATAGATATGTCTCAGTAGGTCTAAGGGAAAAACAGATAAAATATTGTGGATCGTGCCAAACTGGGGTGAATGGCCAAGATAACAGAGGACCAGGCTTGCATTCAGAGGAGTTTTAGCAGGCTGGAAAAATAATGTGACAGAAACCTTATGAAATACAACAGAAATAAATACAAAGTCCTGTACCTGGGATAGAGTAAGAGAGATTCACTCAACTGTGTACTGATTTTTTTTCTGATTTACAAAAGGCAATTGAAATGGTCTGCTGAAAAGGTTAGTTTAGATCATGTTCTCCTTGAGCAATAAATGTTAGTGAGAATTCAAAATGTACTTAAAATTGAGTACTTACATTGTCATTCTATATGAAGGCTGCTGTTATTATTAATATTTCATTGATCAGTGAGCTGTTATCATTCTAACCATTCATAGATTGCTACTTTATCCACATTAGCGATTTCTTTGCAAATTGATGTCTGCACACAAGGCTGTTTTTTGTACATTTTTTGGCTATTCTATCACTTGAAGTTCTTCCTGATCTGAACCTCCAAGGACAGCTTTTCTGTGTTGTCTCTTGTCTTCCAGCCATGACAACGTGCCCTAGATAAACTTAGCAACAATTACATCCACAGCTGAACAGTTAAAACATCTAACCACTGGCCATACTAGTAAAGTACACATGGATAGGATGCACATGAAAACTGAGGTGCAGATTTTCACCTCTTAGTTGCAGGTCCAGAACTGTGCAAATGATTTCGAACACCATATGAAGACACCTTGATACATGATCTTTATAAGCGTTACTTTTTACTTTGTTTCAGTGACTCCTGAATTCCCAGGGACACTTGCAGCTTTGGAGGGAGCTATAAGTCCTTACATTTTGCCTGTGGTGGAAGACTTGCCAACTGCAGGTGAGTAGGAATAGGATAACTGCAAGGTCAGAAGTTGTATGTTCAGCGAAATGAGGTTGTCACAAACAGACGTGGTGACAATCTTTAAGAGTGTACTAAACCTGTACTGATAGCTTTTCATTGCATCTAGAAGTAAAAGGTATCTGGGGTCCACGCAGAAAGATTTTTCAAATCAGGATGAAACAGCAGCTGAGAAAAACATGTTTTTAAGCCTTCAAAAGTCACTCACTACTGCTGGGTATCTCAGGTCTAAGAGAAACTAAGAGCTGTCTTCATCACCAACCAGGCTGAATTCCCAAATATCCAGTTTGTCATCACTGTGAGTTCATTGAGCTTTCCATTTTAAATCCTCCCTGAGTGTTGTGAGCTTTAAACCTCACTGAATGTATTCAGCCAGATGTGGCTGGAGGCTCAGCTCTTCAGTGCTCAACATGTGTCCTTGGTCATGATGGAAAGCAGCAGGCAATTACCACAACTATCAGTCATTGCTTCAAGAGAGAAGGACCTGGTATACAAAATCCTACTATATCTGAGAAACAAACAAGTGAAATTTGCACTTTATGCCCCTCAGTCAAGTATGAAATTAAAATAGCTCATGTTATTCAGGTGTGATATCCTGGCTACCAGATGCCCTCAAATGAAGACTAAAAAAAGGCAAGCTAATATTGAAGGATGACATGTCATAATTTGGCTGTTAAGAGAGTCCTTTTAGTTTCAACTAGCGCCAAGAATCTTTTAATTCTTAAAAACACATTGTTTAGATTTGTGCAGGTCCTCTTTTGCTAGACCTAGAGGCTTACAGCCGGAATAGAGTTTAGAAACCTGCTCCTTAGTGCTTCTGGAGAGTGCTCACAGAAGAGACTAAACTGATCTCTGGAGCATTTGTGAGGGTTTCTCACTGCTGTCTCACTTGTCATCTTTCTGATAAGGTTCTGGAAAATGCTGTATTCTGCCACTGTAAATAGGAAGGGTCTTGCTTCTGGAGGCAACTTAAGCTGTGACTGTGGGTTAGAAAGAGGCACCACAAAAGTAGTAACAGCAGAAAATGTGTCATGCTTATGTGAGTCACGTACACTCCCACCCATGCAAAAACTTGTGTCATGCTACTTCTGAGTGCCAAACGGTCATCATGTGTGAGAATGCTGTGGCATAACAGCACTGTCTAGCAAGAGCCATGAGCCAAGTTAAGTTCTTGACTCAGTCCCCTTTTACTGTGAAATAATGCACAAGATGGACCAACTTCAGCCTTGTTGTAACATAAGGGAAGGCTAATCTGTTGCTGAACCTGGTATTGATGTTAGCACAGTGCCTGGGAGAGAAACCCACGATTGAGAGCCCTCCATCTTCAAGCACAGCACTTGGCAGATAGGTTGGGCTGGCTGGGGTGATCAGTTCCTGCTG